GGTTAAATAAGTGGGTTTCACTACGAAATTTTGTTTGCGATGATTCATCGCCATTTGTAGATACTTCATATAAGAATGCAATATCTCAATAACAGTACTACAAGATTGTGAACTATTAGAGAGAACATATAATCACCTGCCGGATCATTTCTTGAGTGCAGTTTTTGTCAGAACTAGACTTTGAACTTTCTTTCAATTATTCAAGTTCCATCTATTCTGAGAGATTTATAAATTTCACTATGATTTTTGAAAGCGAGTTTGACATCAGTAAATAGCGCATTCAAGAACATTGACAATCCTTCAAAATGAACGGATACCGAAAACTACTAATCGTATTGATTTGAAAATGTAAAGTAATGCTTACCTGTTGAGAAATTCCATCAGTTATCATTTCATCCAAATTTAAAGACAGTTTATGTGCATTGACGACGGTTGTTGCATTGTTTTCAGCGACATTCAACACGGAATACAAGATCTGGTTTCGAGAATTTGGATACTCGAAATGATTTCGAAAGATTGGTATTGAATATAAATAGAATTTCTGACTATGCTTTACTATGCTCATAGTCACACTTGATAAACCAATTTTTATTTTTGAGCCAAAAAGGAGTTTGAAATGGTGCAATCAGTGATTCTACAGTAGCACGATTGGAATCAAAATCTTGAGAATTGTAAAACCAGAAGTGAAACTGATTTAATAAAGGTAATTTCGATTGAATCAATTCTTCCCAACGAGAACCATCAAAAAATTGATGATCAATTGAATAACGTTGACCTAACAATCGAAGATACTTTAACATAGGTAAAAGTGAAAGAAGTGATTCAATTTCGTCCATTTTTAAATCACTACAGTCATTTATCGAGAGCGATGTTAAATGAATTGTCGATCGAATATCAGAATCTTTAGCAATAGTCATATTGTATCTGTTTTTGGTATGAAGTTGTTTCAGAACAAGCGTCTGTAGATAAGGTAAATGAATAAAAATAGAATAAACTGTATTCCGATTACACAAAGGTATTGTCACATGTTCCAATCTACATTGAATAGGCTACTTTATTTCATTTCCAACATTCAAATCTCCGTTGAATTCAAATTTAAGAAGATCATTATGTGAAATGATAGATGATATAAGTGCTAAATTCAAGTTCTTCCAGTTATAATATCTAGAATAACTACCGGGTGAAACTGAGAATGTTCTAAGAGGACATTTCATTATATGTTTTTGAAATGTTTGAAATTCTTGTGTTTCTACATTAATAAGATTTAATGAACGTAGTCGAATGAGCTGATCAATAGAAAATAGAGAAAGAAATAATTTAATTTGATCACTTGTCTGTAATTCATCCGCAAGCGTAACTGAAATGACATTTTTGGGATCAATAATACATGCCAAGATAGACAGGTCAGATTGTGACATGTAACGGAAGTCTAATCCGTATCGATTGTAAGTATTAGAAATGTAGTAGAGCCGTTTGTTCACACACCGAATTGAAAACGAAATTGTCTCTGCATCGAGATGGTCGAAAATTCGATGAACCATTTCGATGGGTAATTCTTCAAGATAAGATTTGTTTGTAAAAGACATACGTAAGCCGTAATTCGTCGAATACACAAGTATAATTTAGTTCGTTCTAATTATACGTCACGATTACACATTCACGTCTATTATGGACATCTAATGATGTACTGCATTCGAATGCATAAAATGAAAGAAAATAAAAGAATTCTTCGCTTATCTATACACCGAAATCTTGAGAAAGAAATGAAACAATGAATCATTACCTTACTTCCGAAATATTACATACAAACGATGTAATAACCAATATTTGGAATTATGAAGAAATTAAAACATGACTTTCTTCGACAGCATTAGTTTTTTTCTGACTTGTGGAGAAGGTGGATTTAAGTAATTTTGATGATGAAATAGCTTTCATGCAATATTATTCCTTTTGCTACAATAGAACAATCGTTGATAAATTTTAAAAGAATTCAACGTGAAATAATCTTGTTGTTATTTTATGAATTTCATTAAAAAATCTGTTTGAGATGAATTTGAGAAGACAACAATGTTGAAATGAAAACTCAATGGCTTTTCATTGAAATTTGAAAAGCTTTTAGCGGCAATCGAGAAGTTTAATTGGAAATTTGACTTGCTTTAAATGTATTCAAACATCGATTGATACTCATTGGCAACA